ACCAAACAAGTAAATTTGATATTAAACTCTCCTTGAGTAGAGTATCTTCAAGAGCCCAGCCACTGGACTAGGCCAGGCAAGAAGGCAGCATGTCACACACAACCTGGGAGCACCCATCCTCGCACTCAGACCTCTCCCCAAAGGCTCACCCCTCGCTGCTCAGCCAATTCTTCATCTCTCAAACCACTGTTCTAAAAAACTCACTTGTGCCTTGTCCCCAGCTCTGCACTTCATTTTCACAGTTCTTCAGACTGAGGTGTGCACAACACAGAACTGAATAGCCTGAGAGCCAGAACTACAGAATCACAGTGATTAACACTGGCTTCCTGCCATGAAGGATCAGGATTTGAAACAGATCCCAAAAGGATATTAAGAAATGAGAAGGCAAAAATGTAGTTCTACCTGCACAGCAAGCATAGGCTGTTCATTTGAAATGAAAACACTTACTGTTAGTGAAATCCCTTTATACTTGTATCCCATATCTTCTGCACACTTAAAGTTTGACTTGTCAGCCTGCCAGCAGCAGAAATGTTAATGTTTTGCATGCAAGCTGCTTGCTGGGCTCTTCTTTTACCCTACAACTCTACATACATTACTGAAGCCACAGATTTCACAGGACGTGATACCCAAATAAAGTGTCTCCAAAGCATACTGCAAAAGGCTCCGCTTCCTGCTGCCCCAGATATAGCAAGTCCTCTGGGGGAGGGTGAACAAGAATCTCTAAGAGGGTTTTGCTGTTAAATCTTTTCTTGTTAAGATGCAGAAGAGAAAATCTGCTCTGTGACAGCAGCACTGCAGGGAGTTAAAACTGAAGGGTCACAATAGAGGCACATTATAACAAGAAGCTCCCTAGAGGAGAGACCTAATACCTTGCAATCGTTGAGCAGGGCAAGTTTCCAATAAGCAGCTGTTCCTCCAGAAAACAAAAAACCCAAGTGAACAAGCCATCACACATGCAGGCCCACTGCCATTCCTGAATTAGAATAAACAGCCACGCAGAAATGTATGTAGTGACTAAAAAAAACAGCCAGAAATTCAGCCTGCTGTAGTACAAACACGGGCAGAGGGAGCTCGAGCCTGCCTCCATTTCCTCCACAATGTCCTCACTACCGAGCAGCAACACACCGCTGTCGACAAACCCAGCCCCTTTGTCCCCTTCACTACAGGAAGCACAAACAAGGAACTTTTGAGAGGCTGTTGCAAACAAGGTGCTTAAACAAAAAAGAAATAAATCAAAGAAAAGCTTGAAGAGCACATTGCTGCCTTTGCCGGCAGACATGCTGCAAACATGCACCTCTCCAACATCCCAGATGTAAGATTTGAGCCAACATGGCTCCCTCTTCTTTCTCAGTGGCGTTTTCCAGCATCAGACACCCAGGTTTGACTCAAAAAACCACCTCCAAGAGCACCACTGTTACCGTTTTAAGCTAGCAACATTTAAAATGGATTTTGGCACAGATGTCTGCTCTTACCTCCACAGTAGTAAGCTGAAAATGAAAAATGTAAAACTAAATTAAAAGCTAACCTTGGAAAACTGAGCAGCTCCCATTGCTACCATTCTGGGAGAAGGGAAGTGTGGGTGGGGGACAGTGTAAGACATGAAGCTCTAAGTGTTTTTGCAACACTCTGTGTTGAAGCCATCAGACAGGCTGTGACTGGTTAAAAAAACCAGGCAGACAGAGCAATACCACTCTAATTAACGATTTCAGGCAGCATTTCACTTTCAAGCAGGTAGAACAGCTGCTCAGCTAAGGCAGAACTTTCTCTGCTGTTACACTGAACAGCTTAGCCCAGCTGTTTCTTTAAAAGCATCTTAACACCAGAAGAGCAAGGCATTAACAGCAGCCGGTGGCACCAAGTCACTGGCGGGAGTTCCTGTCCATTACCAAAGGCTGCCTCCAGCCCAGCAGCCCGTGATGAGCAGGAGGGCAGGGCCATGACTTCTGAATCAGCACTGCAAATCACTCACAAGGAAGTCCCTAGGTTTGTACCTGTAATTCCTCAGGTATTTCACCAGCGTTGTCACTCAGAGTCAGCCTTCCCAAGCACGGCTTCACTGCTCCTGCTCACTGAATGAATTACACTGGGAGTGGCTGGGGTGGGAGGCAGAGAGGTAGAAAACAACCAGGAAGAGAGAGGATGGTTTCTTGGGTGGAGGGTCAGCTCACAGAGCAGATGGGCTAAGATACCAGGCACCAGCTCACTGACCAACTTACCAGACTACACTGGCCCAACAGTGTAGACACATAGACACACACACACCCCAATCCCCCAAAACCCCCCATGGAGAAGAAAAAACACCCACATGCAAATAAAGATCATCCTTTCTGGGAAAGAAATAACAACAGACATGAAGAAGTACCAGACCTCATTAACAAAAATAAATACATGGATTATGTTAGAGGCTCTTTGAGCTCCCGGCTACACAAGACCATTTTTCTGAACTCCACTGGCAGTTCCAACACGTTTTCCTGACATCTGAGGCCAGGCCAGGTACCAAAAGACAGGATCATACCCTTCTGGTTTAGGAAAAGAAACAAGAATTAAGAATGACACAAGTTTTTAAGAGGGCATTCACAGGACAGCCACTTACCTATTGCTCAGACATGTTAAAGTCAACTTGCTTTAAATACAGCAAGCAACCCACTGAGAGAAACAATAGCAAGCAGCTACTTCAAAGAACAAAATGACATATTAGAACAATGCTCACATACTACTGCATGGTTCTTTATTTGCTACCAGGCATATAAAGACTAATTAAAGCACTAGTTTACAGCACACCTACTTATTTAACCTGCAAGACAAAACCATCGACTTTAAAAGCCTTGTCAGACAGCACCCAGTGTCACTGCTTCCAGTGGGGCTGAAGCTGCTCCAGTGTTATCTCAAAATGAAAAGTTTTCACTCTTAATTATAACACGTTGGGAGAAAGCCACCACCTTTTTTTAATTAAAGAACCTCATGTTTAAGAACCTGCTAGAGTTTATTCATACAGGCAACTAATTAGTTAAATAAATACCATACACCAGCACTCCCAAAAAAGCTACCAGAAGCGTCCCCATAAAGGCTTTTGAGAAAACCAAGCTGGACTAAGGAGAGTATATGGCACGTTAAAAGAAAGGAAGCAAATACAGGATGACTCCATAGTGAAAGAGAGATTCCAGCTATAAACTGTTCAGCAGATTCCTCAAAAACAGATGGAAAAAAAGAGATGAACAGATACACAACAAAAGTGGCTGATGATCCTTTGGGATTGGGCACAGTAAAATCTAAAGCTTTTCACAGTTGTCGAAAGCTCTCACAATGCCAAAAGACTAATGAAATGGCAGATAAAGTCTGAAAGTTGGTAAACAGAAAAAAGAACGAAAATTGGAGAAAGGCAAACATTTCCAATCTGTGTTAACTGCTGAAAGGGAAAACAAAGCAAACCAAAATACAACACGTTCTCACAGCGCATTCCCTGAGAACATTAGTTTGCTGCTCAGCAGTTCTCAAAAAAGATACCAGGAATTATCAGAACAAAAGGAGAAGGAAAACCACACCTAGAAAGCCTTTGGTCTGAGCTAGTTACAGGTATATAACGCCTCTCTATATCTGTCAATAAAAGGCCAGACACTCAAGCCCATGTTCACGTGGTTCTCAAGAGCAGAGAGAATAGCTGCAATGAGCGGCTAAGGGTCAGGGGAGCTCACCACGGTCACCTGGCACCGGCTGGGTGATACTGGGAAGTGCTGCAGTGTAACAAAGACAGGAAAAGCTACAATGGATAGAGAGAGCAGGCTCACAGAGTTCAAACCCGACACAGCAAACATAACCAAAATACGTAAGCGACTTAATATGGAAGATGATAATTTGATGCCTGTATTCAAGAACAAATGTCTAAGACTCAGGGCTGGAGACAGCAACCCCAGTGGCAAGGATACCAGCCCTGGTCACTCCAGCAGGAAATGGAAGGAAGCTGCAGCTTCCGCAGTCTCCAAAACACCAAAACACAGACATTGCTTTTGCCATACAGGCAGTGCAGGTATATCCCAGCACTGTGCAGCTCAAGGGACTGGGCACAGCAGCTGGAACACCTCTGACAGAGCCAGCCACCACTATGCCACCACACCCAGCAGGAAGTACCCTGCCTTGAAGTCTTCGGGACTCAGTGCGATCAATGCAAAACCTCAAGACAAGTCTTGTAAAAGCACTGAGCTGTCGTTCTGCTTAGATAGGAAGTTGAACATTTGCTTTCTCTCTGCTAAAGCTCTACAGGCTGGTTCAAAAGAACACAATGCTTCTGTAGGGCAAAGCACAGAGAAGCAAAGCTGCTGTGATGTGCATGAGCTCTGAGACAGGCAGGGCGATTTGTGAACCATGACCCAAGCTGTCAGGAGACACAGAGCAGCATCCATGCAAGGGGAAGAGCTGGATCTAATAATGCATTACATATTCCCGGCCTTCCCGAAAGGAATTTTTCTACGGAGGAGAAATGGAGACAGACTAGTTAAAGCTACAGACCGCCTGTGCTGCTGGCTGAGTCTCTGCACATACCCGAGCATTCTAAGAGAAGGAACGTGTGGCTGCAGGACCTCCCGCGGCTCTACCAAAGCCAAGGAATAGTTCTCTCCCTTGGCCCCGCTGTACCCGAGCACGGGGCGGTGCCAGCGAACTAACTCCAGCTCGAGTTGGGATTATTTATTGTAACAGCCCAAATAACACAGCTTCGCCAACATAACTGCGCTGCTTCAACCGGGCTCCCGCACGGCTGCCCCGCGAACCCGGCACCGGAAAGCCCCGCACCCCTCCAGACTTTGACCGAGAAGGCTGCCCCGGAGCTCTCCGGATCACGGCCCCGCACGGCGACCAGGGGAACAGCCCGCTGCGCCGAGCCCCGCTGCGCCGAGCCCCGCTGCGCCGAGCCTGGCCCCGTCCCGGGCGCAGGTCGCCATGGCAACCCCGCCCTCCCTCTCTTCCCCCCCCCGTCCCCCCTCTCTCTCCCCCCCGTCCCCGCTCACCTCGGACTGGCGGCGAGCGCCGTGCGGGCGCGCCGCGGGCGGGCGGGGCGGGTCAGCGCATACCGTGCGGCGGCACCACCGGCGGGCGAGGGGCCGGCGGCCGCGGCGGACACCGGCGGGCACTTCCTCTCCCCGGACACAGCGCAGCAAGGTGCCTCCCCATAGGCTGCCCGCCGGCACGTGACCGGCGGCTGGCGCGCAGGCGCAGAGGGGAAAGCCCGCTCCCTCAGGCCACGCGGGCAGCCGCGGGCGGGGAGCACAGAGGAGCCGAGGGCGCTAATTAAAGGGGGTGTTTAAATTAGCGATGCAGCTGCAGGCCCTAGCGCTGGGGACACGTGATTCAGCGTGGCCATGGCCCCGTGTCACCTCCCCCGCAGTTTGCACTGTGAGGGGCACCCAGTGACCTGTCCCATTGCCGGGGCTTCATGCCAGTAATGGCTCTAATCGTGAAATTGTAAGATTTTCAAGGTTTTCCCTTGTCGCTGAAGCTCCACAAAGTGAGAGAGGGTATTTCAGTTAGAAGGGACCTACACTGATCCCCTCATCCAGCTGCCTGACCCCTTTAGGGCTGACCAAAAGTTAAAGCATATTATTTTCCTTTACCGAGAAGGGCAAAACAGTTTCCTTTCCAGCAGTTTCATTCAAATAGTTTTTTCACATCTGATTTGTTTTTTCATAGGCAGTGCAGAACCACAACTATCACATCTCCCCCAGTAAGGACAAGAGCTTTGGAGGTCTTTGTTGTAGTCACCAATGTGTAGAAAAGACTTTTCTTCCTTGCTTTTTTACCCATCAGAAGGAGCTCAGAGAACCACAGCACGGCAAGAGAGCTCAGTTAAAGCGGCTAGGGGGCGTGTTTTGCTGTAATGTCAACAGCAGCACGCTGTTGCCCCTCCTAAACGCATCCGCACCCAACTGCACTTAACTTGGAGCAGCCAGCCCGCCCTTGACCAGCTTTCCAGCCAGCTGTGATCAAAAGCACCAGATTTCACCCCAAAGTTTCATGACTCGCTGAATGAGGCATGTAAAGAGGGCATTACCCACCATAGAGATGAGGGGTGACTGCAGCCATAAAGGGGTTTTGTTCCCTCCCTAGAGCAGGCCCAACGCATTGACCGGTCTAATCAATGCTAGAAAGATAAAGTGGCAGAATTACTTCATACTTCTTAGATTGTTTCCTTTAATAGGAACTGCTGCTTTACTCTACCTTGTGCTTCTGAAACAAACATTTGTGTTCCAAAAATATACAGTGTACACATACTCTGTAGCTATAGATACAAACATTTACAAAGAAATGAGCAGGCTGGAGTGGGCAAGCTTGGAAAAAATCTCACACCTTTCTTGCTGGCCCTCCTAGAGCAAGACTAGGTGGGCTCAGTGTGCCATCAACTGATCAGGGCTACGGAGAAACACATGATTGAGAAATGTACCCTTGGCAAGTCCACGAAACAATGGGGATCAAGAAAACTTCCACACACTGCAGAGGTTTGAAGGTTTTGTTGCCTCTTCCCACCCTCTCATTTTGTCCCTGTGATCCACCTTAGCATCTGCAGCCCGCATCCAAACCGACCACAGCCGACCTGTCTGCATCTTCTCCACATCCGGAGGGCTGAGCCCTCACACAGGCACTGCTCAGCTTTACACCAAAGAGGAAAATATGGTTCCCAAGACATTTGGGAAAACATCTGCAAAGCTTCCTCAAACTAAGGGAAACCGGGTACACTCTACAGTCCTAGCGGATCGGTCGGTATGGGAATGTCATTCCTGGTATAAATGTTTGCACAGGATGAGCCGGGAGTGCTGGGTGAGCCGGGAGAGCAGGGTGTGCGGCATGTGCAGGGTACCCCAGAGGAGGAGTATGGATGTGAGGATAAAATCCGGGTGGCAGAGTGCCATGGGTCGGTTGCTGTACTGGACCCGAGATCACCAGCTGGAGCAGGCTGTGGAGAGGAATTCAGACAGACATGAGGATTATTCAGAGAAGGCTTTTGTCACAGCCCTGCCCACCCCACAAGGGACTGACTCTATAGACAATTCATAACCAACACACAGCAATGCTGAGGCAAGAGGACAGTGACTCAATTATGCTCTTTACAGCTTCCAGAAAGACTTCTTTTCCCTCTTTCGCATTTTCTTAATAAAATTTGGCTCCTCTTTGCAAAGAGGCAAGCAGCACAGTGCGATTAAGCTTAGGGTCAGATAAAACAAGCAGGGAGTTGGGGATGGGATAACTCCTGGGCAGGTTCCACACTGTAATTTCATTTTCCCTGTCTGTGCATTTATTCTAACACAGTCTGGGCAAGATCATCTACATGGTGGGAGTCACTGAAGCGTCCCTCAGTCAAGAGTCCAGCTTACAAGGGAAGAAGTAGCAAGCACTGTCTGTCACCTGTATCCTTGTGCTAACCTGTGTGTGAATAAAGGCTGACTTTCAGAAAGTAAACACAAATTTCTAGGGGAGATTTTGCCTCACCAGCCCCCAAGTATGAGCCTTGGAATATGCATCAAAACTGACATGGCTGTAGAAAGGCTTCTTACTTGTTATGTGGTAGCCTGGAGCACACAGTTCTCAAGTCGTCTGAAAGAGGACACAAGACATCACGGTAAGGGTAAAGCAGAAATTAGAGCGATTTTCCTCTCCACTCTCCTTTCTAGGAAAGTCAGATTACCGAAAATGCTCCACTCATCAACAGATCCACTCATCAACTCTCAGACCAAAAACCTCCGGAGGAAAGAAAATGTTTCTCCATCTCACCAGTCAGCTTTGTATACCAGACACTTAACTGTATGTAATTAAGACAGAGGAAATAGAAAATATGACTCTGCCACTGAACATGGCATTTCTGATGAGGTCAAAGCAAGACAAAATTTACCCAATACTTGTTCTGTGCTGGTTTGGGGTTTTCAAAACATTGCTAGCGTAAAGAATGGGTTGGGTTTTTTTTTCCCTGTCTATCAAGTAGAAATTGCACCATTTTTACCATTACCAAACTTCTGCTAAAGCAGAATAACTAGAACCAGGGTAATTAATAACATACCCTGCTGATAAGAGTCCTTTCAGGAATAGCCTGAGAACAAACTGTCCCTTTGTAGATAAACAAACTTCAAAACACTGAAATAACTGTTATTTCAGCAGCTACTTATCCTGAATTACCTTCCACTTCCACAGTACGATCAAGTGTTCAGAATGTACCATGTAAACGGCTAAGAAAAAAACACAGCTGAAATAAGCCATTAACTTAAAAAAAAAAAAAAGCATTTTTCTGCTTGTACTTTGTATGTGAAACATTAGAAAGCAGAACACCGAGATCTTCCAAGCAGTGCTGGTTCAACCACAGCAAAAATGTCAGGCACCTGCTTAGGCAAAGGCCACTCTCTGCATCTGGGGTCTGCACTAACTGTGTGGCTGTTGGGAATCTTTAAACCCTCTGGTCACACTAAAAATTACCTGTTTTCAAGAGAATCATCAAGAAAAGACTCTGGTTGACCCTGTATGTGTCTGCAGGTCTTTCAGAAGGAACTGGTTTTAGAGACAGGACAGAAAGACAAAAGCCACATAAACAGGCTTCTTTACTAAGTTGAAATGAAACCATACACACTGTAATGGGGTCTCATTACAGGGGAGCTGAATGCCCGGAAGTTCCAGATGAAGAGTTTTGTTTTGCTTTTCAAACATCTTGTCTAGCATACCCACCTCACGGGTTTATCTGCTTCACAGGCTCTCCTCCAGCAGCAAACTCAGGGAAGTCAAACTGAAGCACAATTAATCAGTGCTTTTTAAACAGTTACAAGCAATTCTGAGGGAGTCAAAATTGTCCCTGTGCCAGCTCTAACCCCCCTGTGCACACTGCAAGGTCAAAGATAAGTGCTTCAGTTCTGTGAACAACACACCAGCCACCTGCAACAATGATCTCTCCTTTCTTACTCTCCATCCAGTTATTTTTCCTCCACTATTTCCTGCACTATAGCTTTCTAAGAGCAGCAAATTATTACTTCTGCTGTCAACACATTGATCTTTAATTCCCCCACCCCAAAACTCCCTCTTACAACTTCTGCACACTGGAGGAAAAGAATCCCATGCCAGGGTCTCTGCCAGCCCTACTGACAGCTTACCTCTAGTGCACAGGAGTGCTCCTGATGCCATGGCCACTTGCAAAGCCTGAGCCAGTCTGTCTAGAGCCAGTTCAATCTCTTTGGATGCATTGAGAGGATTGAGTTCATCAGATAGCCTGTTAATTTCCTCAACGAGTGGAACCACATGGTCAAAGGGTACTAGCCCCAGGCGCCCATAAAGATTCTTCTCCGTTAAATGCCCCTGAAGCATCATGAGAACCTGCAGGACACTTAGATGCAGTTTTGAATATAGCTGGTGGCAATCTCTGTCTTCTCCTGAAGTAGAGTCCTTGGCAATTTTGCTGGGAGGATGTCCATTTGAGAGAGAGGCTTTCTTCTTCCTTTTATAAGCCAAGGGCGCCTTCACACACCAGCGGATCAGTCCAGTTAGTGGGGTGAGCTCTAAAAACCCTATTGGCAGGTTGGCTGCAATAGGAGTGTTTAGAAAGGTGATGAGGATCAAACGGGGGTCTTCAAAGATCCAGGACACAATCAACTCCAGCAGATCCGAAGGAGGGATGAGGTCATCTGAAGATAGGAAAGTTATTGTTGGGTAAGACTGGCCTTGCGCTGGAGCACAGGACAGCAATCTTTATTTAATCTCTCACACACACCCTTCCTGCACTGTCACAATTACAATTTCACAACCTCCCAAACTTCGCTGTTTTTTTCAAGACACCAAAGGTAAGAAGCTAGTTTACCCCAGGGAAGACATAACAACTTTCTGTCAACTTCACCTTCTCCACCTATTCTAAAGACACCACCAAATGCCAACATTTATCCTCTTTGCCATCAAAGGTACTTCTGACATTTTCTTCTCTACCACCCATCATCTGCCCAATTTTTCTTTAAACTCAGTCTCCATTCATCCCTTGCCACAGGAAGTACAATGGACAATGGAACAGGAAAAACTTGTTGGCACTTCTTTCTCTTCACGCCATTCAATTAATTTCCTTTTAGACTCATCTAGACAAGCACGTCTGGTGGAAAACCTTAACATGACAACACAGTCACGTGCCAGGTAAAGGATTATAGGATT